TCAGCTGTTATTCAGCTACGGGGTAATTTGTTTACTACACAGAATTGAAAGAAATCTTTTAAAAAGGAGCCAAGGTTACAATGATATTTTTAGAAAATGATGTTCTATTTTGTTTTCAGACACTTGTCTCTACATAGAATAGATAAAATTAGCAAACATGCTTTCCTTGCACATATGTATCTATGAGGCTTCAGATCTTTATCACTGGCAGCTGAATTTCTGTTCCACGTGCCTTTGTTCTAGTTACCGATTTATCTGTACAGAAAGTTAATAATAAAAAGAAAAAGCAATCATCTTGAATTTTCTAAGTAATGCACAGGATGGTACCTCAGAATAATGATAGAAACTTAAAATGCTAGATTTTATATTTGGGTATAAAAAAAAAAGGAAACAAATATGTGTTTTCAACAATTTAAAATTATTCTGGGAACTTAAATGTGTCAGAATTTCTTACAATTGTTAAGGAATGAGCTCTCAGATTTTGAGTGAGAAAGAGGCAACACTATCCTTATAAAGATACAGTGATAACCCCTGACTTATTAGCCAACAAACTAAGGGAAAACAGAAAGTTATGAGCAGTCTGTAATATTAAGTCAATGCTTATCAGTTAGAAGTAAAACAGTTCTTTATACCAGCCCCTGTTGTCATAATGTTATTACTAAAAACATACGTCAAGAAAGCATTTGCTTTAACCATCAGGGCAAGCTACATCTTCTTATTAGAAATTCATTACATCATAGTCCAAGTCAATCTTCCGTCTTGGAATTGCTCTTTGGGGCCAAATTCTGAAGTCTTTACTCAGACAAAATACACGTCTAGAACCCATTGCAAGTTTTGCTTGAGTAAAGAGTTCTGGCTTTGTTTATTGAGCAAAAAACACAAATTATAGTTCCAAAAGTTATTTTGGATTCCTTAATGCTTTGGCTGTCATCACAAAAACATGTAAAGGACCTTGATTTTAAAAATGCTGACTGTTCACCATCTGAGCATCAACCCCCTTTAAAATATCTTAAATTGGACATCCAAAAATTTACACACCTCAAATTACTAAACATTAGGGGTGTGCAAAGTGGGCCCTGTTCAATGTGGATTCAGCCTGAATCAGGGACAGTGATTCAATTCGTTGATTTGGATCACTGTCCCTGATTTGACTCATCTGAATCCAAATCTGAAGATTCAATGCTGATTCGGAGAATCGGCTATTTGGACACAGACACAGCTTTAAAAGTTTTTTTCTGCATACCTTGAGGTAGCAGGTGCGGCTCATAAACTCTGCAATGCTGGGGCAGATGGAGTGTCCCACAGGAGTGCGGGGGGGGGGGGCCCCCACGTGCTCAGCTGTGAACCTGGAAGTGGACTGGAAGTACTTCTGGCCCACTTCTGGGTCTGCTGGGGAGTGCACAGGGCCACCCCAACCCACATTTCTGTTAGACACTCCATGTGCCCCAGCATCGCAGCATTCACAAGCCCCTGCTACCTAGACGTATGTAGAAAATACATTTAAAGCTGTCTCTATGTTTGAATCTCCAAATCTTTCCAAATCTCTCCAAATCAATTCAGAGGGTTCCAATTTCACTTTGGAGAGATTAAAGGGTCCTCTGATTCGATTTGGATTCAGAGATTTGGCCACTGAATCGGGCCAAATCTCCGCCAAATCGAATCAGGGACCGAGGCTTCACACAGCCCTACCAGACATGTCTGAAAAAACGAGACCTCACAAGAAACCTGCTTATATCACACTAAGAGTAGTTACCATGTTTACTTAACTAGAAAATGATCCTGATTATAAATGCCCCTTCTGCCCCCCATACTGGATTTTATACATGGAAAATATATACATTGTTATAATTTGCCAGGTACAGAATCTAATTATTAGAGGTTTGCCTTGAATTTATCCCCCTCTCACTAATACAGCAGGGAAAACAAATCTAAGGGATCAGGTAGCCCTTTGCTTTCTGGCTCCCCACAGCTTTTTCCCCTGGCAGCCCCTTCTCCCTCTCCTTGCTGTCAGATCCTGCTCTCCCTGAGCACATGGAAGTGAAGGATGAATTTAAAAACAATAACTTTGAAATTAAACATGGCCATAGCAATTTACATAACTACCTGGGCACTTAGTTTATCCAGAATTGATGCATGTTACCCTACTCCTGCAAGTTTTAGTACAAGTCCTCCATAAACACACTTTTGAGGAGCACTTTGGTACCTACATACATTTAGTTCAAACTATGCATGATATTCTCACAGAGGACTGTCCTCCCCTGAAAACGTACACAGATTATTCTTCGACACTCTTATTCCAGAAAAACTGTAATTCCCTGAGCACAGGGTGGGAGGAACAAGCAAAGTCCAAAAGCATAGGAAACAGCCATGGTAGAAAATAGGCATAGCTACACCTAGATCATCGCTGACCAGTGGCTGTCCAACCTCTTGTTGAACACCTCCAATAAGGGAGAACTTCCCCTGGCAGCTTATTCCACTGCCTCACTATTCAAACAGTGACGACTTTTTTTTCCAGATATCCAAGCTAAACTTATTTTACAGCAACTTCAAGCCACTGGTCCACATCTTCCTCTCTACAACAAGAGAGAAAAAGGGCTTTCAAATGAAACCAGCCTCATTCTGTATGTTGCAAGTCTGTGTTAGGCCCCTGCCAGATGTGCAGGTAAAGGTATCATAGCACCTGATGTGCAATCCACACAATCACACCTCCTGCAATGCTTCACATGTATGGCAGGAACTGTGAATGTGGGACTGAGAGTCAGATCCCAATATACTTTATGGCCAGTGCCAGGAAAGCCCAGGAGCATGATCCCAGGCTCTCCCTGTACTAACAAATAGCAAGTTCCTGTGGTTAGGAGCTCCATCACTGTGACCTCCCAACCACCAGGGCACATGGCGCAACCCCGCCTCAGCTGGGAACCCAGATCAGCTGATGGGACTTCCAGCCATGGGAGTGCATTGGATGCCCCTAGAGCTGGGAGCCCTGTCGACTGATGGCGTTCCCAGCCATAGGGGTGCACCTGGCCAGATGTTCAATTACTGTTGCCACAGGAATCAGCCACAGTTATTTTGTGGAATAATTTTGTGGCTTACTCCTTGTTTTATGACGCCATTAATTGTTTTAACGTGTGGATGGGTTACAAGTCAAGATGTGATTAACTGGTTAATCGAATCTTGCATGTAAAATGTCAGAGGGGCCTTAGTGTCCAGAGGTCTGCATTCCCCTTGTGAATTATGCCTACCCACAGTAGAGTGGCCCAGATTTTGATACATTATACTAAGAGCAAATTTAACCAGGTGCCTGCAGAAATTAATATGCACAAACCTCCACCCAAGCCATACCCAGCGCTGCCCAGCAGTAGTGCTCTTAAAGGCTGCTGCAGCACACACTAGCAAGAGGGGAAAAAAGGTATAGTTGATACATATAACCCATTAAGATAGGAGAGATATTCTCTTTATTAGGATATGACAGGAGAGATACTAATACCTGATTGTTTAAAATCTCTATATGCTTTCTACATTTGGCAAAACTCTGATTATGATTAATATCACTAACTCCTCTGAATGGTCCATTTAACACTGTCCATTGTGGGCCTTTCACATGTATAGATAGAAATTAAAAACATAATTAGCGAAGGAAATAATAAATTTTTTTAAAAATTGGTAGGACAGTATCTGAAGCTACTCTTAATTGAGAAAAAACAACTTGGTACTCTTTAAAATGTTTGAATAAAATTTCCTAAGACACACTTGAGCATAAATTATTTAACAGGATTTCTAGTTGTAGCACCATATAGTGTATCCTTAATAGTACCCATTTATATCCTACAAACTTTAAAAAGAAATAACATCTATAAAAATTGATATCAACATGATCTCAGTCCTCATAAGAAACTCTTTCAACAAAACCCAGAATTAAAACAGCATCCCTGCTCTTAAAACTTGTTAAAAATGGACACTAAAAATTGGTGCGAACCTTCTATTAATTAAAAAGAATAATGGCTGAGGCCCAAAATGTACAGGGTGTCCCAAAAGTCAGAAGCCATAGTAATATAAGATATACGGCTATCTGGCTCCTGACTTTTGGGACACCCTGTATTGCTAAGCAGTATAAAGTGGAAAAACATAGAAAAATATTAATACAATTTGGAATAAAATAAACAAAACATAATAGAACGTATTCTCATCTTTGGTCAGTATTTACTACAATCTTGTTATAGAATGCTTAGATTGAAAAAAAGGATGCCTACCCAGCACATTATCTGTTGTACCAAATAGCAAAAGAGATATTTTTGAAGCTAAAATGAAAATAATATCTAATTACTAATAATACCTGATTTCATATTATTCAGCATCACCCCCACCTTTTCAGAATGCCAGGATTCATGTATTGCCAAGTCATACACTGATGACGGTTACATGATTTACACTGAAATTTAATCTGTGGCTCTCATTTATTTTTAAACAACTTGATTGCCTTCATGATCTAAACATTCATATCTTTACATTTTGCTCAAGTTCCTGAGTTAATGAATGACTTTAGGCTTTGTTTTGCCCTGTAATTTTTGGAACTAGAAGACAGGTCTCCTAGATTATATTACTGATTCTGACAAACTGAATGATCTTGTGCAAGTCATTTAGTCTCTCAAGGTAATATAACCTGGTTCCAAGGTCCCATTCTACTAGGGTGATTTCACATTTTATGTATACCCACCTGTAAAACAAATATAACAATAACTGCATACATCATGGGGGGCAGGGGTTGAGGCTTGATACATTAGAAAAGAAAGGTGATGTTCAGGCAAGAAGCAGGAGTACTATAGTAATAACTCTCATCATCTGACATAAATTGGTTACTACTACAGAAAAATGAACTGTGGAGTTTCTCTGTGCTAATTTCAATGGATACATTTCTCATCCAACATGCAAAAACAAATGCAAACCCACAATCTTTCTATTTAGGATTCAAGAAACTAATAAACTGTTTTTTAAATGCCTACCTGAGATGACAATAAGTTGCAGTCAATGTGCAGTCCTTTCCCAGTTTTGTATCTATGAAGCAGACCAGCCATGATTGCACCACATGTGTACAGGCCTGTAGCAAGATCCGTCATGGCAACTCCTGGTCTAACTGGATCACCACCCTAGTAAGAGAAAGAAAAACAGAACGAGGAAGAATTAATATTTTGTTGTTATTTCATATAAGGCTGGTTTACAAATGCAATGAAAAAACATGGTCAGAAACTAGAGCAGCTTCTGGAATGAAGTCAGATGAAAAGCCTACCACTGAAAACCCACAAAGCTTCTATAAACTGTTCTTATTAACAGGGAACCTGGTTTTCTCTGATAAAAAAATCCCCAATTTTTGGATTAAAAAATGTAACCTAAAATCCACGTTTTTCCATGACTAAAATGAAACACCACTAATACAAATCTATAAATTGGGAAATTTTTTTTTAATCATAGAGAAATCCAGGATCCCTGTTAATAAGAACAGTTTATCTACAGAGGCTTTGTGGGTTTTCAGTGGCAGGCTTTTCATTCAAATTAGTTCAAGAAGCTGCTCTAGTTTCTGACCATGTTTCTGCATTGCATTTGTAAACCAGCCTTATATGAAATGGCAACAAAATATTAATATAATATCTATATATTAGTGGTGTTTCATTTTAATCACAGACTAGATTGTATTAGCTTGTGCTCCTTTTCAGGTTTCTTAGCTAGTAAGCCCAAACACATGAAAACTTGCTCCTTTGCTTCCTTCCTGCAGCACATAGAAAGGCAGCATATCCAGGCACAGCAACATTGTTAAAGTAGAGCATTTCACTCTTAGCACAGAAATAAGGAAACACAACAGTTATCAAAAAAGATCTTTACTATTATCTGGATACAGTTTTATCCAGCGGATACAGTGCTTGGAGTTTTGAAAGTGTGTATTAGCATAGTCATCATCGTTGTTGTGGTTGTTGCTGCCATTTATAATAATAATAATTTTTATAGTCCAGAATTTAAGCTCAAATTTACGTGAAAATATTTCCAAACATTCAGCATGCAGTGCTATGGTATTTCAACAAATAGGCAATTTTCACTGACAACCTTCAGGGGGTTTTTTTAAATGCAAATATTTTCTGTGGATTAAAAGATTTTGAAAAGTGACATGCAAAATGCATGATCTTGTCTCCTTTTCATTACTTTTTTCTGTCTCCTTTTGTACAGCCAAATGGGATGCTGCTCTCTGTCTTTGATATATTTTGACCTTTGCTTTTCTAGATCTTGTGTTCCTTTTACCAATACAGTAATACCTTGCTTAACGAATCCTCTGGAAGCAAACCTCCTTTATAATGAAGTTGGCTGGCAATGAGCTCCCTGCAGGCTGGCAGAGTTCCAGCCAGCAGGGAACTGGGAAGAAGCAGAAGGAAGGTGGTGAGACAGGGTGCACCATGTGCACATACAGTACATGCACGTGGCCCCAGGTACCCTTGAGAGCAGCTCCGGCAGGTAAATCCGGGGGAGGAGGATTGAGACCCCTGTAGGGAGGGAGCTGGGCAGGGCTGGGGCTGCTGCCCAGCCAGGGGGTGCTTGGGACACAGGGCTGCAACGTGTGGCTGCAGGACCCTGCTGATCTGGGTCGTGCCCACCAGGCTGCAGAGGTTTGGGGGCAGGGAAGCAGTAAGGCAGGGAACAGTGGGGCTGCACAGAGAACCTGCTAACCCCTGCTTGCCATGGCCACGTGCCTACTGTCACGTCGCTGCAGTGAGGAAAGCAGCGCAGAGCTGCGCCCCTCAAAGCAAAGGCAAGCGCAGGAGGCACATTGCCAGGGCAGCGCAGGGCAAGGAGCAGCGAGCAGCCGCCGTTCCCTGCTGTCTTGCTTCCCTTCCCCAGGTGCCTCTGCAGCCTGGTGGGCATGATCTGGTGCAGCTGGGAACAGTGGGGCTGCACAGAGAAGGTGTTCCCCATTTCCTAGCCAGGGCAGTGCAAAGTGAATGCCCTCTGTACCTGCGACTGCTTGCAGCGTGGAGCTCGCAGCCTCTCTGCACAGCCCCGCTGTTCCCAGTTGCGCCGGGTCATGCCCACCAAGCTCCAGAGGCCCAGGGGAGAAAGCAGGGTAGAGTGATGAGAGGTGAACTCCTGGGGTTTTAACTATAGATTTCCTAGCTTAATAACAAGGAAGAGTGGTTGACTGAGTTTGCTGTTCAGTTTTGGATTCTCTGTAATGGTAAAATCCCTTTATTCCGGAACGTGAAATTAACAGCTTAAACTGACTTCTTTTTCAGCCAATTCCTGCATAAGAAACATAAAATCATAGAAAATTAAGGTTGGAAGGGGCCTCAGGAGGTTGTCTAGTCCAACCCCCTGGTCAGAGCAGGACCATCCCCAACTGTATCATCCTAGCTAGAGCTTTGTCTAGCCAGGTCTTAAAAACCGCCAGGGATGGAACTTCCACCATCTCTCTGGGTACCCTTATTTACTACCCTCCTCCTGAGAAAGTTTTTCATAATATCTAACCTAAAACTTTCCTTGCTGCAACTTGAGACCATTGCTTCTTGTTTTGTCACCTGCTACCACTGAGAATAGTCTAACTCTATCCTCTCTGGAACCACCTTTCAGGTAGTTGAAATCTTCTATTAAATCTCCCCTCAGTCTACTCTTCTCCAGACTAAATAAGCCCATTTCCCTCAGCTTTTTCTCATAAGTCCTGTGTCCCAGCCCTCCACTGGACTCTGATTTGTCCACAACCCTTCTGTAGTGGAGCCTCAAAACTGAACGCAATACTCCAGATGTGGCCTCACCAGTGCCAAATAGAGGGGAATAATCACTTCTCTTAATCTGCTGGCCACAGTCCTAGTAAAGCAGCCCAGTATGCTGTTAGCCTTTCTTGCAACAAGAGCACACTGTTGGCTCATATTCAGCTTACTGTTCACTGCAACCCCGAGGTCTTTTTCTGCAGAACTCCTGCTTAGCAAAGCAGTCCGCAATCTGTCCTGGTGGATGGGATTATTCTGTCCAAAATGCAGGATTTTGCACTTCCCATTATTGGATTTCTTTTGCTCTAATCCTCCAATTTGTCTAGGTCTCTGAATCCTAGCCCGACCCTCCAGCATTCATTTACTTTTCCACCCAAAATGCTAGACTTTAACACACAATTTCCACATAAACATTCGTCTCCAGATGAATAAAATGTCCAGAATGTTATTAAACTGGTGGGCTTCAAAGTTCTGAGAATGTGTTAACACAGTTTTAAAATTAAACAGTTCCTAGGTGCCTGACGATCCTATGATAATGCCCCCCAAATTAATTCTAATATGTTTACACCATTCATTAATTAAAATCTCCAGCAGTAATTCCCAAAGCACATTCAAAGACCTTTTTATCAGAAGTTTTGGTATATTAACACTGTACAATATAGCCACAGTTTTTTTCTGTGGATACAGTACTGCATAACAGATGCTGAACACATCTCTCCCATGCCTTCTGTTCAATAGTGTTTTTATCTTGAGGATACAAACATTTATAGCTTATCTAAGGCTGATCCAGATGGCCTCTCTTTTCAAATGGTGATAATTACTGAGTTAACTGGCAATCAATTATCTTAAGGTAAAGAAGTCCTGTGTAAAAATATCTTTAACTAACGGCTATCATGAACTACTTCCCTCTAAAACCACCAGGCTCTTCACTTTTAGTTCTTAACACAAGATCCAAGAGTGAAAAATCTGGTCAAAATTGGACTTCAGAGAACCAGAATTACAAGCTGCAAGTCATATTCCCTTCTGGATTATCATTCTCTGATGTGTCAACAGAAAATTTAGTCTGATTCATGTATCACATACCCTGCTATTTTGATTTTACTTTAGTTTTTTTCCAAATGTTTTGGCCACAGATCAAAGCTACATAGGGTAGCTTGATAACTATATGACCATACCAGATGCAGGGACTTCTGCCTTTTTTATTTACCTATGGAGTTATTCAATTCCCATTACTGTCAATGGGAGTTTTATTGGACTCATCAGGCCCAAAGGCAAGGGTACCACACATTTATATTTTGATGAAGACTCCTGCCATGAAAAATCTACATTCTCATAAGAGTTCACATAACGAAACACAAGAAAGGCACAAGAAAAATAAATCCTCTTGTTTGACATCATCTGTTTCATATTTTTTTATCCTGCTCTAGGATGTACTTTAGTTTAAATATTTTCCTACTTTTTGCTCATTTTTATGATACACTACTAATAAAATCCTCTGGAATGAAGCAAAGCTCTTTCCACCTACCTGTGCAGTGACTGAAAGGCTTTTCCATGGGTTTCTTTTCCCTCATTTTTGGTACATTATAAAATCCCACACAGCTCTGTTACTTGCACATACATTATGCTGTCCTTATAACAGTGATATTTATTTTAAAAGTAACAAATTATCACTGGTACTCAATTGTAATGTATACATGAACTGTCATTTTAAAACCACTCTAACATAATCAATTCTAAATGGTCTTTCATTGCCACAGTCAGCCACAAACATCCTACTACGGGTGAATTTCATTCCAAAGCACAAAATCTATACACCATTTACATCTCCAAAACACAACTTATATAAAGCTCAGGCTACGGGCCTTGTTACACATTACACTTTGAATGCACTAATTTTAATTGGTGTTAAAATTACCTCATGCTTTGAGCAGTCACAGGTTAAGGGTTAATATGCCCAGTAACTTGCACTGCTCTGACCTGCCATTAGGCTGGTGATGAGGGACTGTGAGACAAGTTGGCTCTCTGCCTCTGAACTTCGCCTGCTGTCAGGGGCAGGGCCCTTTGGATCTGTGGCCCAGACTGTGGGCAGCTGGGCCTGTCAGGGTCCCATCAGGCTTGCAAGCCCCTACCTGTCCTGACTGGGTCCCCATTGCTGCCCATACCCCCAGATCTAGCCCACTGCCCACCCAGCCACCAGCCAAAATCAAACCAGCCACTGTTCCCCTATTCCCTAGGGCTCCCTTCCTGCCCCTTAGGACACCCCTCTGTCCCCTGACCCTTGTGGCTCACCCCCACCTCCCATGTCCTCTGGCTCACCTGTACTGCCAGTGCTGTCCCAGGAGAGCAGGCAGGGAATGGGAAACCCATCTGTCACACCACCACTGCCACTGCTGGGCAAATAC